TATCGTCTTTGAGTAAAATTGTTTGTATAACTGAAGAAGGTAATGGTCTACGTTATCTGAAGGATTTGTTTGAACATTTATGTAAGGGTTGTCGTTGGCTTCTCTTGAAAGAATTTGGTCCAGTGGTGGATACTCTAACTTAACATCTGATGTAGCGTTAGCGTTTGAAGCTGTGTTTAAATTCACCGACTTAAGTTCTGGTTCTTTTTCTTTTCAAACACTCTGAACTATAGTTCTTTATGACAATATTGTTTGTCGTTCGTGAGTCAACATTTGATGTTGGTTCAATTGGAACATTAACAGCACCAGCTAAGATGGATTTGCTCTCATTTCATATAGAATAAAACCTTTTATATGTATGAAATGAACAATATACTCGACAAGGGTTTGAATGTAAAGCTAACGAATGAAAATATTGTTGAATTCACTGAGACAGGAGCTGTGTATAAAGATGTAGACTACTGAACAAAAGAGCTAAGGGAAGAAGCAGGAATATGAACAAAGGGTGGAAGCCTATAAAATTTATGTCAATGATGGCTCAGGAGGTTCAAACATAAAGTATGCAGAAAGTTATAGAGTTTATGCTCTCAAAGGTGAAAAGCCTTCATTTAAGAACAGCTATTCTAACGCATATCCTCAAAAGCTAAGGATGGGGAAGTGGATGATATGAATGACAGCAAAATATTAACAGAAATGGCGACAGAGATGCATGGAATTTGTTTACCATCAGTCAATTAAAGCATAAGATTTAAAACAATGTTGGTCGTTCCCATGGAATATTTTTGACTTTAATGGTATTAGTTATGATATGAATCTCAAGGTATGAACGAGGAGAGATGAGAGACTTATATGCTTCCCAAATTTCTTCAAAAGGTAATGTTATACCTGACTGTTTCCAAATGAGTTCAATATCATAGCGTGAGAAACCTTGAAAGATAACGAAGTCAGTTATGAGACGTTTTATGTTTAAAGCAAGAAAACGCCATGTTTGCATAAGTATTGCTACAGTTAAGTGGTAATGTCTGACTTTAGTTATGATGTTAGCTAATGGTGAGTCAGGCTTTGACACTAAACCTTTTCCGGCGAAGTCGTCACAAACGAGCAGAGTGTTTGAAGGATACTTTTTGAAGGGGTATTTTGAAAGTTTTGATAGAATGTAGTTTGTAAGTCGTTTCATATCGTAAACTCCTGAGTATTGACGTAAGTGGTGTTTGTCAATAATTCTTTCCATCTCTTCTGAAGTCTTTTGCATTCCTGACTGTATGAACTCTACAATAGCATAATATTTTCTCTTACGTCGAATGTAACGTTGAAGAAATTCAATGAGTTCGCTATCTGGAACTTTAACGACAGATGCTTGAACTTTACTCATGAATGTTTTCGCTGTTGAATCCATAGAGTCTGAAGTTGCTGATATAATGATTTGGTCATAGTAAGAGTCGTTTCCTAAACGCTCTGTTATGAGTATATGACGAATGAGGTTAAATGTCTTACCTGAACCCATCTTTCCACAATAGAAATAAACACCATTTGAACAGAACTCATAGTCCTTGCTGAAAGGAAGAATGAGAGAAGAGTTAAGTTTGTCTGTAGTTTCATTCATGTCTTCATCTACGTCATGTATTAAATGCTTCATTTTATCTCCATTAAAAATGCAAGTCAGAAATATTCAGAACATAGCACCGAGTCTAACTGACAAGAGTATAAAGATATACTATGAACATGTTATGATGAAACCTACCAAAATTCAAGAAAGTCAGTATACTTATGAATATCCAAGACACTGGGTAGAGTATGTAGGAGGTGAGAAAGCTATTGAAATCAGACAGGTTCGAAGTATTCCAGCAGGAAGAACAATATTATTGAAGAACTTTAATGTTTTGAGATATAATGATGAAACAAAGAAGCAAGATAGTTTCCCTGTTGCTGTGTATGTGAACTTAGATACAGGAGATGACATGAAAGTTTTTAATACAAAGCTTCAAACGGTAGTGAGAGAACAACTGACTGCGGAAGGGCATCCATTACCTTCAGAAGTTACCATAGCATATAATTTTGAAACAAACTCAATAGATTTTAAAGTCATCTCTGCAAAGAAGTCAGGTTTTACATTTAATGAAGCAGATGTATATTCGAATGAAAACTTCAAAGCTATTGCATGGTTAGATAATGACGATTGCTTTAAGAAAATATTTAAATACAGTGACTCAACGATGTCAATAGATGACCTTCGTGGAATGTTACCATCGACATTTACAGTAGAAGGTTCAGCAGGATTGCTTACAAGATTGTCAATTGGTGGTATTTGGTCTCGTGAGAACATTGTTATAAAATCCAGTATAAGTGAATTTGCTGAAGAATCTATATTATGTCTTTCAAACTACATGTATTCGCCGCCAAAGCATTATAGTATAACAAACTTTGTCAGTAAGTTTAACATAAGACTTGTCGAACCTTCTTCAATGAAAGATGTTGTGCTACCTAAAGATGGAAAGGATGGACTCATTATTGAGATGATTTTAATAGCATATTAAATGAGCTTGTTCTTGAAGGTCATTCATGATGAAATAACTGTTGTAGAAGATGTTAGCAATTGTTCAGACATTTTGAAGCGTATAGATGATATAAGAAATAAGTTAGATAGACCGCAAAGCAGTGAGGGCGAAGCCCGTGAGAACGCTTATGTTTCATTGACTTTCTCCAGTAACGAGAACTTTTATGAGATAATATTGAAGAGAGATGATTTTAATATGGGGTAAATGGTAGCTTGGGCAGCTTTAGGCGCAATGGGAACAAAAGCATTAGCATTTGGAGCAAAAGCACTTGGAGCTTATGACGCAGTAAATAAAATGAGTGGAGGAAGGGTTTCAAAGACATTAGATGCAAATAAAGGAAAGATTGGAGGCTGGGTTGCAAAGAAGTTAAGATTAAATAAAATGGGGCTCATAAATAAAGCATCCAATTTGGTTGCGACTGAGTCAGAAAATGCTTTAGGAAAGGACGATGAGTTTGCAAAACACGCAAAAGACTTTAATGACCAGATGAAAGGTGAAACAATGCATTTAAATAGAGTCGATGGAACTAAAGAAAATGTTTCTTCTCCACCAGTAGTTCTTCCGTATGGTCCCTATGGAATGTATGGAAACCCTTACGAAAGACCATTTGACCCATTGACTGGTGGAAGTAACTGGTATCATTACGGCCGAAGAAGAAAGACAGTCAAGTTGGAGACAGACGTGAAGAAAGCAACTAAAAAGAAACCAAGGAAGAGAGTTATAAAGCAATGAATTCAACAGGGTGAAAAAAACAGGTGAAAAAAGAGGTGAGATTTCACCACTTCACCTAAATTTATTTTTGTGCTATGTTTTCATACGCGTGAGGGTGGTGATATCATTTATTTTTAAGTTTATTTTTTATTTTATTTTTATATAAATGACGAAAACTATTGAGATAACAAACTACAACGGTCATGAGTTCAAGAATTTGTTCTTCGTTCCTCGTGAAAATACATTCTATCAGATACGAGGGAGAAAGGGTAAAGTTAGTTTGAGCGTTTATGAAGGAATGAAGAATGGAAAGTTTATACAAGCATACGATACAAACGGTAAGCGTGTTTCATTAGCTTTGTCAAAACTTACTAACATTTATTTTGACAGTGACTTTGACTCTGACGATTGGAGCGACAGCAGCGATACTGAAGAATATGAACTATTGTGTGAAGCACAGCAATGGGAAGAGTTGCAATACTTTTGTAAGTGAGAACGTTTATTTTTACAGTAGTGAAGTCGTTTGTGAAAACGTTAGTGAAGTCGTTTGTAAAAACGTTAGTGAAGTCGTTTGTAAAAACGTTAGTGAAGTCGTTTGTGAAAACGTTAGTGAAGTCGTTTGTAAAAACATTAGTGAAGTGGTTTGTAAAAACGTTAGTGAAGTCGTTTGTAAAAACATTAGTGAAGTGGTTTGTAAAAACGTTAGTGAAGTGGTTGGTGAAAACGTTAGTGAAGTGGTTGGTGAAAACGTTAGTGAAGTCGTTTGTAAAAACATTAGTGAAGTGGTTTGTGGCTTTATAAATATTTAAGGTTAAGTTGGTGTTTGTGTTTGTGTTGTAAAATATACGTTAACGGTTTTGTAAAGTGTCAAATTCACAAGTATTGCGTATGGAGGAACGCAGTGCCTCCATACACGAGACTTGTATACTAACTACTTTATTTCCCGAACTAAAGTGATGATTCGTGTTTTTGATCGAAATTTTGATCATCTAATTCATTGATTGATGAAATTATTCTTTTGTTTGTTAAAACAATAAATGTACTCTGTTTCTTTTCTGCAGTTGTATATCCTATTTTCTAACGCATATTTTGCAATCTTTAGTAGGAGATTCAAGTGTTTCTTTTATAGATGTTCCAAAATTGCCGTTTCTCCTTGGAAAAGCACTGTCCAAAATCTTTCATCAATGAGGAGAAAGACGGTGTTTCCACACCTTCCTCATTAAGATGATTTATTTTATCGTTAAGTTAAATGATATATATATATTTTAATACTAATCACTTCAAATTGTTCTGGGTATTAAAAAAAATAATAAAAAATGGACATCTGATGGGTATTTTTTTATCATAGAATTTTTGTTTAGTTTACATTATTTTTAAAAAGGTCTAGAATTTGAAATGAGAATTCGTTTTCTAATATTTAATTATATTGAAATATAAGGTGAGGTTCAAGCATAAGAAAAAGTGACATCGCCTACAGCGATGTCACTTTTTCGAAAATTTCTCATTTGGACACTTTAACTCTTATATCTGAATAATCAAATGTGTTTAACAAAAAACTGACATTTCTCTTGTTGAAAACATGATTTCAATTTATAGTTTCAATCAATTAAAACAATAGAAGATAAGAATAGAATACTACAAGATAGTATTCTTCAGATAAATATAAAAAAACTTTTTACAATAAAAATACATAGAAATATAAATAATAAAAAATAAAAACAAAAACAATAATAATTATCTGTTGTTATTTGATTTCTGAAGAAGAGGTAATTCAGATGATTCTTTCTTAGTTTCTTTAACAAATGCAGAACCATCATCACCATAGACGAAATCTCCACTTCCGCCGAAGTTAGAAACAGGAAGTTTGCCTTGTTTTGTAGATGATTTTTCGACCATCGCTGCTGTCTGTGACAAAACTTCGGCAACTGTCTGAACGTCCTTTTGAGTGGCGAATTTATCCATAGACGATGCAAGCTCTTTCACTCGTTCATTCAATCCGTTGATGATAACTCTGAACTTGTTAAATACTTTCTCAACAAAATCGCGATCAACTTTTCTTTCAACAGCTGACATAAGTTCATTTTTGTTTTTGATGAAAAGTTCCATTTGTCCTTTCAACTGTTCCGATGTTTCCTTTTCAATTACATGGACAACTGTCTGCTCTGGCTGCGATTTAGACGTATTCCCAACATACAAAATATTACCTGAAACTTGTGTTGAAATGTTATCATTTTCACTTTCACTTTTAACTGATTTTTTGTCATCGTTTTTCACTGATTTCTTGTCATCAATATCAAGCTTTGGAGGTGGAGAGTTATAGTTAGCTGTCGAGAAATTATATGCATCAATCCAGAGATCTTTTTAGTCTTGAAGAACGTTGTTGACTGTTTCTTCTTTATGCCAATGTCATCTTCTGAAATTTCGCCACTGATCATGTCTTCGTTTTCGCTGTCTTCTCTGTATCTTCCTCTTCTTCCAAGTCTCATTCTTTCAAGTGTTGATGTGCCTGATCCTGTTGGAAGAGAGCTAGATCTATCAGATTCATCTGGTGATTCATCGTCACCACCAACACGTGCAAATGTGAAGCTTGGATTATTGAAGAAACTGGGGACACATGTTGCCAAATTAAGTGGAGGAAGATGTTCTAAACCACTCGCGTTTGTTCTGATCAATTTGAATTCATCGATGATTGCGAGTACGACATCTCTAACATCTTTCTCATTCCTGTTGACGGCGTTTTGATTCGAAGGATATCTTGAAGAGCAGCATCGATTTGGCCGCCAAGATGGTCAACTGTTTTTTCTAGTTTTTGATGTTCTTTTGCACGAATGTCGTTGTCTAACGGAATCAACATTCCTGCACGTGTTGCTGCTGTTTGATGTGCCATGATGCTTGAAAGCATTGGACGGTTCGGAGATTCAGGATTTGATGGATTTTGCTGCAAATTATCAATTAATTGCTGCAAAACATCGACTCTTCTTGATAAAAGTGATTGTTCTGTCATTGCATTGACGAGAGCAGCTCTGTTTTGAGATGTAACTGCCCAAACTTCGTTGAGTTTTGGTGCATTATCTGATGTTGTGTGCATGAGCGCAATATCAAGAGCTTTTTGTAGAGAAGCGAGTCTGTTGTTAAGTAAATCGGCCATTGTTGTGTGTACTTGGTTGATTTGCTCTGTTGTACGTGCTTGAATTTGCTCAATTAAGTCATTATCTCCGGCATCGCCTGTAATTATCTCTCAAATTTTGGCCATTTTTCGCAGTTTGATCGGACAAAACCTCGCATTTCGACGCGAGATCGACACCAAAAATTCGGCAAAAATTATTAAAGGAGGTCTATCGTCGCAGATCACAAACTTAGTTTTAATGCAAGATTGCATACGAAAAATTTCGAACAAAAATTCATAAACACGGAAATGTAAATCAGAGCAGAAAAATATATTGTATGAAGATGTCGACTACGATACGAAATTCGAAAAACGAGATATTTAGAGAGTGGGGGACAAACTCGCCCATTGTCATTTTTTCATTAACCTTAAACTTGTAATTTTCATTATTTTTAATTAACCTTATTTCTTTCCATATTCCTGATTTATTTTATTCACTTACTATTAAAAGTCACATTTTAATAAAATATAATAATTTATTTATAGCATTTTTTACTATACTGTAATAAAAAATTAATTATAATAAATTAAATGTTTATTAAATCAAATGTTTTCTTTGCAATAATATTTTTAATGTTGAGTAAACAATGTTGGGATCAAGTGTATCATTTTTCAGACCTTTCTGAACAGCTTCAAGCATACTGATGCATTCGACTTTTTTAAATTGTGTCATTTCTTCGAAATCTCTTGTGACTTTTTTGATAACTTTAACACTTCTCTCTGAATCCAGACCTTTAATTTGCAACTTAATCAGGAATGAAGGAACAACACTGGAATATAACTCGATGACAAGTTCATCGAGTCGAAGATTTGGTTGTACACCACTTGTATGTGCCGGATACCATTGTGTCAAATTTTTTCTGAAATTAACTTTAAAAGTACTAAGTAAGATCATGAGATATAGCAATATATGTTTAAACTAACTTATATTTTGGTTGTACACCACTTGTATGTGCCGGATACCATTGTGTCAAATTTTTTCTGAAATTAACTTTAAAAGTACTAAGTAAGATCATGAGATATAGCAATATATGTTTAAACTAACTTATATTTTGGTTGTACACCACTTGTATGTGCCGGATACCATTGTGTCAAATTTTTTCTGAAATTAACTTTAAAAGTACTAAGTAAGATCATGAGATATAGCAATATATGTTTAAACTAACTTATATTTTGGTTGTACACCACTTGTATGTGCCGGATACCATTGTGTCAAATTTTTTCTGAAATTAACTTTAAAAGTACTAAGTAAGATCATGAGATATAGCAATATATGTTTAAACTAACTTATATTTTGGTTGTACACCACTTGTATGTGCCGGATACCATTGTGTCAAATTTTTTCTGAAATTAACTTTAAAAGTACTAAGTAAGATCATGAGATATAGCAATATATGTTTAAACTAACTTATATTTTGATTGTACACCACTTGTATGTGCCGGATACCATTGTGTCAAATTTTTTCTGAAATTAACTTTAAAAGTACTAAGTAAGATCATGAGATATAGCAATATATGTTTAAACTAACTTATATTTTGGTTGTACACCACTTGTATGTGCCGGATACCATTGTGTCAAATTTTTTCTGAAATTAACTTTAAAAGTACTAAGTAAGATCATGAGATATAGCAATATATGTTTAAACTAACTTATATTTTGGTTGTACACCACTTGTATGTGCCGGATACCATTGTGTCAAATTTTTTCTGAAATTAACTTTAAAAGTACTAAGTAAGATCATTTATTTTTGCATAATATAATGCCAATATGGTTTCTTTTGATTTTATTTCATTTATAAGCAAATCAGATTTACCCAAAAACTCCACTCCATAAGCGTTCATTTGCTAAATTAAAAAGTGACAATGGGCTAGTCTGTCCCTTTCTCATATTTAGAAGATTCACAAAAAATTAGAGTCATTAATTCGCAATTGTATAATTTTGAAGACTACATTGAGTCAAATTAATAGATTTACATGATATTATAAAATAAATAATAAGAGTTTACCAATAAAATTCTCGATTCAAGGTCGAAATTTTTTAAAAGTTCCTCTTCTTGGGAACTCGCTTAGATACTCTACCTGAAAATAGTATGAAAACTTCAAAGACTGTTAAGAACGGTCTCTGAAGTTTTTTGTTAACAATCAGTATCTGATTGTCGACTTTGTTCCTCAGTTTGGGTTCTTGCTTAGACATAGAGCCCAAGATGAGGAACAAAAGACTTCAAAGAATGCTAAGAGCAATCTTTTAAGTCTTTCCTCAACAATCAGTATCTGATTGTTGAGGGAGTTCTTCTATGATGCCTGTTCAGTTATGGCATCACAGATAAGTAACATAGACTTAAAAGAACATGCTTTATAGTCTTTTTTCAACAATCAGTATCCGATTTTTGAGGAAGTTCCTCTTCTTGGGTTCAAGGTCCGAATATTTACCTAAAATACGAATCATAGTATTAAATCAAGAATAATATTTCGAAGCATAAAATTAAATTAAATAATATCTTCATGAAATAACTTTTCCATCAACTTCTACATCTATTGGATTTACTCCTGCTCCAATCGTCGGAACAGTCTGATCAAGGAAAGAGCCACTCTTAATACGATGAATTAAACTAGTTTTACCTACACCAGAATCACCAACGGCGATAATTCTCGGTGAAAGTTCTTCGTCGTTCATTGTAAAATTTGTCAAAAGTTGGTTCAGCGGAAATACAATCAACGAAAATTTACAATTATTATGCCTCTTGTTGATGAATATTATTCAATAAACATTAAACAATTTAGATCCGGTAGTTCGAAATTTAAATGATCACAAGCTTAGTTTACAACTATTCAATAAAAAACACCTGATAGTACTTTTTCCCTATGATAGAATTAGTATTTTTATGAATGAACAAGGTCGTAGAATATATACGTCATACTCTATCTTTTTACCGTTTCGATAGGTGAATAACATAAATTTTTGTTCAAACATTTTCAATTATCCAGGGTTGCTTATTCAAAAATGTGATTTTTATTCATGTCTAACATATTACAATTGGTTTGGAAACAGATCCAATGCTATTTAACTAAGATACACTGATATATCTTATACTCTGACTTCTTGATAGAAAATTATAAATCAATTTATACAAAAATTAGTTTTTAATCTAATTTTAAAAACTGTTTCAATTCAGCAATTGAATTAACATTGTAACAATGTAAAATTTTGTATGTAGAGATGCATGGATCAATGTGTGTTGAGCGATTTCGTGTAGTATGGAATACTTCAGGAATTTTTGTGGGATATTTGTGAATTAGTTCTTCAATTGAAACAGCAAATTCAAGGCACTTTTTCCATTCATCTTTTGTAGTTAAGAAACTACCTAATGCAAGTGGCTGAAAGTTTGTAACATATCGAATTAAATCATTGCTAAGGGTGTTATCTAATCCATTTTCAGTAACTCGTTGTTTGTAAAGTTTACTTTTTTCAGCAAGAAATTTCATAAGTTTATGAACAGTATCAACGAAATCCCATGCATTGTGGTCAATATTATTATAATAATCAGCAATCTTCATTTGTAATGAATTTTGGATTTGATTACTGAAATAAATATATGGTAAGATAAACTTGAAAAAACGTAAATTTGTATGAATATGCTTGATTCAATCCTTCAAGATATTGATACATTTGATCTGATGAATTTGCTAAATAAGTGTAAATTTCTTCAAATTCTTGTTTAGAAATGTAATGAGGTTTTATAAATTTTAAAAAAGTATAGCATTTGTCTTGTGCTTGAGCATAATATGAGTAAAGTTTTGTTGGAATAAGATCAGGGTCAAGATTATATAATTTTTCACTAAGATCAATAACATGATTTACATACTCTTCAGAATTATCAACAAGATAACTACATCTTGAAGTAATTTGCTTATAACATCTCTGGTGAGATATTGTAAAAAAGCCTTCTCTATCAAACATTGATATAAAAATTTTCTTATCGTTTTGTAAAGTGATATAATTCAATAAAAATTTTTATGTCGTTTTTCCAAA